AGATTATTTAAATATTTATCATAACTAGATTTTAAATAGTTAAAATAACAGAATTATGTAATAAATTTAAAAAATTTCTTCAAAGTAGAAAAATAATTATAACATAATATTGAAATTAATAATAATTAAATATTTTTACATAATACTGTAAATAACTAATTTCACTTATATCAAGTAATAATTCGAGAAAAAAACTTTCAAAAACATTAATATTTATTAATAATAATTTTAAACTCTTAATCAAAATTTATTATATAGTTATATATACTAAAAGTAATATTTATTGTATTTTAGTAATTATTTATTGTTTTTTGTGATAAATGTATTTTCAATGATTATGTATACATTTATTTTGTTTTGTTATTTAACATAAAACTTTGAATAATTATTGGAGATTAAACTACTATTATTAAATTTTTTTAATTTAATTTATAGTACTTATTGTATTTTTGTTATAACTTATTGATTAATTAATATTTATTAGAGATTAAACTATTATTTTAGATTATACTATTTATTATCTAAGTTAATATATTTTTAGTACTTATTATCAAGTTAATAATTTTTGAAGATTAAACTATTGTTATTTATCGGAGATAAAACTATTAATTTAGCTAAAATCATGAGTGTTCATGAATTGGTTTGGACCGGTCATAGGCTATTTGGCCAACAAATTTACATGGTCAGGTTGGGGAGTTGGCCAGTTAAAGCCGATTGACCTTTTGTAAAAACCGACCCACTCAAGTTGTATCGGTTTGGGTCGGTTTTCACAAAAGGTCAATCAATTCAAAAGATTTAAACTTAAAAATTTAATTTAATTTTAAAAATTACAGTGCAATTGTAGGTACATGGTGGTCACTTAAACCATCAAAATAGAGGAAGTGTCAAACTAATACTATACGAATGCCTGTAATGAGTCTAGAACTCATCACACATCTGTGATGAACTCATAGCCGAAATAGGTTGTGATGAACTTTGGACCCATGCGGACTTGCGATGAGTTTAAATCCATCACAGAACCGCAATGGGCCTTGGACCAGTGCAGACTTGCGATGAGTTTAAAGTCATCACATAATTGCGATGAGCACAGACTCAACACAGATCAAAAACAAATAATAGAAACCCGTGCATCCTTAAAAAACGCGTGTGACAGGACACCCCGTGAGCCTAATGAGGGTGCACAAGATAAATAGTGACGTCACCCATGCCACGTCTTTTTAAAAGGGTCATGAAAGGAAATAGCACACGTGTATTATGAGAATCCTCTAATGAAAGGGAAATTCATCCTTGAGATATTTCATAAGACACATGCCGAAACCTTAACAATTGACACCAAATCCAAGATTCACTTTTCTAATGGGAACCAAACACTTTTGGCTCCTTCCTTTCGGGACCTTGGGATCTCTCCCTATAAATAGGGGTCCAATTCATAATGAGATAATCATTCTATCACCTCGTTTGTCCTAACTTTTAGCCTACCTCCTGCACTTAGCTTTCTTTTGTCCTTCAAGGAGACTCCCGTACATAGCCTAACCACCTCACTCACATCAATTATTAAAAAATAAATTTAAAAATTAGATTTATGAAATGAAACATTTTAAACTAAGAAATATGGGAAATTTCTCACTTTTTCGTATTAAAAATTACATTTAAAATATAAAATATTAATATATATCCATGGTTAGGTCATTTGATTTTTGTTGGTTTACAAATGGCCAAAGTGAAACTGATCCAACTTGGTCCAATTGGAAATTTTTTGAACCAAAGCCAACATAAAATACTAGAAAATCGACCATCTCGGTTCAAGTTGATTAGGTTGGTCGGTTTCATAAGTTTGATGAATAAACCTTAACTGAAATTAATTGTTGTTACTTTTGTATTATAAAAAATTTATTAAAAGTATTATATAAAATATGAATAGCTATTAATTATTTAAAAAGTTGAAAATATAAAACAATTGTATACTCTTATGTGTTTATATTAGGGTCATTTACTATAACACACCTTATAGTTTTATATATTTACTTAAGTCTACCTTATAGTTTTCATTTTACTAAAATATCCCATATATTTTACAATTTATTTACTTAATCAACCTTTCATTAAGGAGTGTTTGTTTTGTCATTAGGCCCATGATTTTTTATTCCAAAAAATACCTTTGACATTTTTTTTTATACAAAAAAACAAAATTGGCCAAATATAGCCAATAGAGTGGTTGATCGTGTCTTATTAAGGGCAAAATGGTGATTTTTATTTCTATTTTCTTTTGATTAAATTTATTTAAATGAATATTAGGGTCAACACTATCATTTTCCACTATCATCTAATGGAAGATTGATTAAATCCGTTGCAAATTATAAGTGGTGTTTTAGTAAAATGCTAACTATAGGGTAAATATTTAGTAAATCCATAAAACTATAAGGGTATTTTAATAAATGACGGTTTTTATTATTTATCTTTTTCCTTAATAAATCATGTGCATCGCACGGGTCCCCGCTAAGATAATTATTAATAAAACTAAATTTATTAAAAAATATTTATTCATATTCAATTAACAATAATTATTTTTTATAAATCAATATTAAATGAAAAATAAAATTATTAAATATTTCAGATTGTTCTGTACATCACACGAGTCCCTGCTAGTATATATATAAAGCTACCTAACAGGGGTAAGTCATCCCAAAACCCATAACCCCCACCCCAACCCCGATGAAGGTGAGATTAAACCCCAGACCTTCCGCTACAACCAGCCACAGACATTACCATCTGAACTAGTTGACACCTTCTCTGTGAATATAGGTTAGGCCAGTCCAAGGTCAACCAAAGCTTAGTCCACATTCAACTTCGGTCCCGTATTTTGGCCCAGGAGAGACCCTATCCTTATGGGCTTGCTAAGATGGATCGAACTCTGGTCCGTTGAACTCAATATTCAACCCAAGGAGAAGCACTCTTTTAGGATGGAGAAGGATAAGAGTCTTATTGCTTGGACATCCCAGGATTGAGGAATGAGAGTATGCAAATTTGTTTTTGCATTCTCTTTAAGAGCTACCTACACACCCTCTGTCAAAGAATTAAATGGTCCCAATTTTTTGTCCTTGAGCCAACAAACTCGGTTATTTCGCTTTTATGAGCGCTGGAGCGCATGCATTTGCATACGAGTGCAATTTATTTAGGGCTCCAATCTGCTACTCACAAGCTGTATCTACGAGACATAAAGACATAACATCTGTGCATTTAGAATATTTCTCTTGCCATTCATATTCATGAGAAATGTTTAGGAATGTGGGAGCAATTGGCAATTTGTGTGTAGCAGATCCGGAGTGATTGAATTGTTGCACTCCAAAATTCAAAACCAAATCTGGTGGACATGTTCTATATCTGCTTTCGGCTCTTCCACTAAATTTCTTAATTAACAACAACAAATAAATGAAAACGTAAATATGACTAAAATAAAATAATAGAAGAAGCGGCTGCTAGGTGCTAACAATTTAGCAGCTTTTTGTAATTCAACATATCCAAAGTCTAATTTTCCTGAGGTGGAGTGCAGTCTATTTATCCCTTGGTTTTTAATATTTTATAGCTAGTGGTTTGTTACTTGTATGTGAACAGCTTTACATATCTTACACAAAATAAATCTAAGTGATCAGAGAAAAAGTTGAATAAAATATTAACTAATTTTGGCACAGAAAAACTACAAGCTAAAAAGAAGAAAGAAGACGATGAGGACAAAATATTAACTAATTTTGCCAGACACGGTCCAAGCAGCCATTAATGATTTTTTTTGACACCGGTTGAATCTATACCCTTGAAATTAAAATTGCTATTTTCAGAAAGAATATGAATGTAAAAAACAAATATTATCCTAAAGATGAGTACTAATTACAGGAAAATAATATAATAATAAGGGTATCTGTGACAAAGACCTTTTGCGACAAAGAACCCCCTGTACAATCGCTGCCTCCATGAAAATGACTTCCTTATCATCTTCTCTCTCCTGAAATTTCATCGCTGCCTCCATGAAAATGACTTCCATCATATTTGACGAGACACACACTCTCTCTTCCTCCGAACCGGAGAAGGTGCGACACGTGATGAACTACGATTCTCTCAACAAGCCAACTAACACAGTAACACTAATATTGTTCTTCGCTGAGATTTATTCTTTCAAGTTTTTCCCCTACACTTCCTGGAGTAAGCTATTAGAATCAGAGAGTGTGACAGGTGCGAACAGGGCATGAAACACCACTGCGATAATGGCTTATGGAAAGGGAAAGGCTGGGAGCTTTCTGATTTTCTATTTGACCTGAAGAAGGTCTCGCACCTCCTGGGGCTCCAAAGTTTGGGAGAATTAAAACTCTTTCTAGCAGATCTAACTGATGAAGGGAGCTTCGATGCCGCTGTCTCCGGATGCGAAGTGGTCTTCCACGTCACTACTCCAGTCCACTTTGCTTCTCCGGATCCTGAGGTCTTCAACGCACAACTGCTCTGTCTCAACAACATTTATTGCTTTTCTTTTTCAAGTTAATTAAGGATTAATTTTAGAGTGAATTGTTTAAAACTCCCAAATTAATGTTGTTGATTGAAACAAAATGACATGATGAAGCTAGCAATTCAGGGAAGGTTAAGTTTTGCCAGAGACTCGACAATTCCGCCCGGGACGAAGTGATTCGATCCTGGAAACATGTGAAGGACAAAACTGGGAAGAACAAAGCGAGGGAAAAATATTTCGGAGGTGGAGAACAGCAACAGCGGAAACAAAATACAGGGGGGTCTTTGTAATTTATCCTAATAATAATAATCATCATAATGTTTCTTCTAATTTTTCTGAAAATTATTGTCCACAGAAATGTTAGTCCTCTTGATTCACAACTTGCAACACTCTCCTCAACCATTCAGGTTTTAGTTTTCTAATTTAAGCAAAACACCTGAAAATATCAGTTTCTAAGGAAATAATTGATTTTTCCTTTCATTTGACATACAATCAAACACAACACGTAACAAAGAAAAATATGAAATCATAGAGTACCCATTGAATTCTATGACAATCATACATGGATAAGACTTGAAATGAAAATCATAGAAAAAAAAACAGAAAAAAAAAGTCTTTATTTTTTTCATTTGAAATATATAACGGGCCTATTTGATTCAGGGTCCCAAATCCCAGTCTCCTTCACATACTCCAGATACCTCAAGAATTCTGGCTTTTTCATGGCCTTCTTGCTTCGCTGGGGATCAAGAAGATTGAGGAGTGGGTGACTCTTGCCAAGCTTTCTGTTGTGCTCTGCCTGTGCCTGTGCCTGTGCCTGTGCCTGTGCCTGTGCCTGTGCCTGTGCCTGTGGTGGAGTTACTACAGTTGTCCCCTCCTGCATATGTTTCTTCCTGGAGGAACGAAGCATCTTAACAGGTGACTTCACAATCTTCATTTCGGACTCAGACTCATCCATGGATGACTCGTTATTCAGCCGTTCATACCCGCGGCGACTTCTTTGCCGCGGATGACTCCATACGTGAAAACCTTATCATCGGCACCCAGATCATCTGATGACAACATTTCGCCGGAGTTGGGGATGAAAAGGTCCGAAGTTGAAAAGGAAGAATAACTACTTGGAGTAGAAGATGATCTGATCGATATTGTTTGGGAATGGGGGTTCTAACTTCTAATAACTGAGAGATTTAAACAATAAAATGGTTGAAATGGTCGTATTCTCATTGATCACATTGTCGGTTTCTTTTATTTAGAGGCACGATTTGAGTTCTTCTTTTGCTTGAGAATTAAATGAGATTTGACTTTTACGTACCAGAATTTAGGTGGACTTCGAATCATTCTTAAATCAAAGAAGAGTAGGAAAGATGAACGCACCTTCTGGCGACTATCACTATGTTACTTATTAGTAACCTGATGTGATGATTATTGATTCACTCACTCTACCTTGCCGCTTATTTGGGCTTGGGCTTTGACTTCAGCACCACAGATTCTAAATCTTCTCTGTGAATTGTGGTTGTCGTCTTCCGGTGAACGAAAACTTGAGTTTGCTTTTATCTAAAATATAACTTTAATTAATTTATTTCTTAGGCTCATATGCGATCCTAATCTGTAGACTGTAGCTGATCAGCCCGAATTTGTTTAGCGCTGAATTAATAAAACTAATTTATAACGTGAAAACTATGACAGAATCCTTTGGATCATTTCAGATCGAACAGCACAGATCCTTCCCCTAACCTTGTGTAATTGTTTAGTCTGCGGGGTTGTGTGCGTGTGTGTATGTGTGATACGTGCGTATTCGGGGTGGGGGATGATCAAAATATCTTCATCTTCAACTTGGATGTTCTACCAAAAAAAAAAACTAAGATGATCACAACTGAACGGGGTTCATAACCTAGAGATCAATGTTCTAAAAACCGACCCGTGTCACGGATTAGCGGCTTGAAACATTCAGGTCAAATGGGGTCAGACCGTCCCATGTCGCATATACATGTGCGAAAATATGTATTTTATCATTAAAAAATATATAATTATTTGTGATATATAATATGTATATATAAATATCATTTTACGTTTAATATATACTTTTTAATTTTTTTGTTTATAAAAAAATGTTAAAATTTTCTATTTGAGACCCCAAAAAGAGCTTTTTGGTGAAAATAGTGGGGCAAGGCGCCTTTGGCTCATTGAAACATATACATTGTCCAGCCCACGGCTCAGTGGTCAGGTCAAATGGGTCAATAATTAAACCACTTAGGTCACACAAATTTTTACTATTCAATGTGTTTTGACCAACAGATAGGTTCCAATAAAATCAAACCCAAAATCTAGGTTAATGATGATTCAAACTGTTCAACCAATTGGATCAAACAGCGGGTTGAAAACATTGATAGGGATATGACTCAACTAGAAGCAAGAGGCCTCCCGTCAAGGAGCCTTAGGGTTATTTGGTACTGTGGATCAATATTATGTAGAGCATTTCAATCTATTGGGCCTCATTGTCAAGTGGTTGAAATCATACTACAAGAACCACAATTTTGTCAAACAAAATTTTCTATAATGTACTTTGGAAATTTATTGCAAAACTTCACATAAATAATTGCATCGACTATGATGTGGATTGCTTTATGAGGTTTAGATGTCAGTGGACGATAAATTGGGTGGTATAGTCTTATCTACAAAGTACGTTTATGGCATGAACATTATTTGACACTAGGCCGGGGAATTATTCGGAGTTATTCTGTAATGTGGACAAACTATGTGGTAAGGTATGGTGTATATAGTTCAATGAATCTACATTTTTAATTTGATTCTATGTATTTCACATACACATTTGAGATGATTTACACTATTGGTCAAGCATAAAAATTATCATGTTTTATAAATAAGATAAACAGTAAGCAATAACATAAATTAATCATAATATAAAAATCATAAAAATGTTAATTATAAAATTAGTAAAAGACAACAAATTTATCTAATGATAACTAATAAAAACTAAAGAATACAAATTAATCCCGTTTTGACCCCTTAGACTATAATAAAATATATAACGTAATCACAACGCATTTCCATGTTTTAATCACTCTTTAAACTAATATGCTGAAATGGGTATCAAAAGAATACTAAGAGTAGTGATCATAAATCGAAAATCCCAAAATGACCCAAATGGAAAACATACAAATATGTATAACAATGCCTACGGAATCACATCAGAAAGTAATGAATCAAAAATAAAATTAAGAACAGCAAATGTATTTGTTCAACAAGGGAACTCAAGATCATCAAAGCCAATGCATTAGAGGTGCATGTCAACATTTCCATCTAATTTCCATACCGAAGATCAAAAAACCAGAAAGAATGGTAGGCTTGTTCTATACTGAAAACTATTTTACATCCATCTATATACACTTATTCAGTTTTGGCCCATGATGGTATGGGCCGTATGGCACAGTTGGGAACTCACTACACCCTCAAATATTTCCAAAACATTTCCAACCACACCATCCACACCTCTTTCCGTGGATAATGAATTGCAAGACAACCCAATTCAATACATAATATAGTGTCATTTTTCAAATTTTGTATAGGTTTTTCTGCTTTTCCCTTCCTTTTCCTGCCTTTTCCTTCAAATCAAACATAGCCTAAGCTCCTTTATCATCATCTTGAAAGCATGCTTAAGGGGCGCTCAGATCTTCTTGCCAAGAGAATGCTACACAACCTACCCACAAGACACTATATATAGCTTTATATCAGGAATATCTTCCGCATGCACTTGTATATTATAGTTCGTAGAGAGATTCCAGATGTATGGCTATAGTGTCCTGTGGATAGCTAGTAGATATGGTATGAATGATATGTGGTTATAAAAGACCTTGGCAGCCCACAGATGGTTTGTTTGAAGGTGCATCTTTCCATGTAAAGATAAGATGAAAAAGGCGAGAAACTCCATTTCTAACTTTTTAAAAGAAGCTCAAATCAAACTTATCGTATCTTTTTAAAATGCAACCTTTTGACAGCTAGATCTTCTCCTAGCCAAACAGAAAAAAGATGAAAACACAGGTTGCTGGACTTCTAAACAGCCAACAACCCGCGTGAAAAAATACGTCAAACAAAATGTAGGTAGAACACACATTTCCCCAATTCATATTTGAATGGTTTATTGATAACGACTTGGGTTGGATCATGTTAACTTTGGCCCTGGCCTGTTCAGTAAATGGACTTGAGTATTAAGCCTCCCTCCTGGGTATAATAGTTATCATAAAGCTCAGTAGCCCAATACTTTGCCTAAGTTCGACTTCTTATATATCCATTAAAAAAAGTATAATGAAAAAGCTTCGGCTGGGCATTGAGACCGAGTGTTGTGGGCTGAGTGGTTGTTGAATGGGCTGTGGGAGCTACTAGTCCTCTTTCTAGCTTTGGGATACTTTGTGGAATTTAGGTTTAAGATATATTTTCAGATTATATCTATACCTGCGATATAAAATAATGTTGTATACCTCACCCATCTTCCCCTTGTTCTATTTCTCCTTCCTTGCATTCTCCTTTTTTTTTTTCTTTTCAGCCCTCTCCCTAGGCCTCAAATTGCTCCAAACCCCCTCCTAATTTTTTTTTTTTCTATTTTTAATTAATTTTTATCATAAACAATTCATCCATGTCATCAATTTAGTATATGTTTGACATCAATGCTTCAGTTCTACTGATGTGTGGCTTGGAGCACTATTTTCTGTCTTTTTTTTTGTTTGGAATCGTTGCTATCAGGTATGACATTTCCTGAAGCAACAATAACTTTTTCTATTTGGTACCAATGCTCCAGTAAACGTTTTCTGCACTTCTACCCATTATCTACTGCCACATCACTGCCATGTTGGCAGCAACGAGCTGCAGCTCCAGGAAACACCAAATTTGGCATTGCTCCAAGTCATGCCTTCTTGATTTCCAAAGTGTGGCTTGGAGCACCGTTTTCTATGGAAAAATGGTTCCAAACATATGGCTGTTTTCTACAGCAACGTTTTTTCCTACATGGCGCTGATGTGGCACCATTTTATGGAGCAACAGCAATGGTTCCAAACAGATGCTTAAACTATCGCATGACTCTCTACAAGTGTCTTCTGTTTGAAGATGTTTTCGATTCCAATGAATCTTCACAAATGTCTTCATTCCAACTATCACTAGGGCTAACTTTAGGCTATGTTTGGCTTGAAGCAAAAGGTAGAAAAAATGAAGGGAAAGGTAGGAAAATCTATACAAGGTTTGTAAAGGTTTCTCTACCCTTCCCTACTTTTATCTTCAAACCAAACACAATCCTAGTGTTTCTATAGATAAGTTTGATCAAGTCAAAATCTCAGAAATGGTAGAAACATCATTTGTCTCTGAAATGAAGTTGCAGCTCTCAAAAATTCCAAAAAAAAAATATTAAAAAATCAGAGTTTTCCGGAATGAAGTTGCATAATCTTATAAATTCCAGAAATGTTGTTAAGGTTCATTTGAAAGTAGTAATACAAATATGTACGGTACAAATACATACAAAATATAAGACTTTGCACTCTATATATTTATATTTATACTCCTTCCAAACTGAGCCTCAAATACAAATATATACAATACAAATACATGCAAAATAATACAAAATACAAGGTTTTGCATTCTACATATTTGTACTCCTTCCAAACTGAGGTTAAGGGGATCAAAGTTTTATCCCATTTCTCTCGTGTACATTTTCTTCAAATGTGGTATTTTTTGCGGGTTTCTTATTGAAAATCAACTCATAGGAAATCTCTGGCATCAATACAATATTTTAAAAGGCTGATAATGGGTCAGTGGCCCCTAACAGCACTCCTAATCTGTTATCAATAAATTGTTCCCATATACTTACCCACATAACACCATCGCCGTATATTAGGAACATCTCTCCATGAGTGAAAAGGAAGATATTCCCAATGCATTACTTTAATATCTTGTGGAGTAAGGACACGGGAACAACTAGTGGGTAGCAGATCCGTGCCCCCTTAACAGCTGCTATGTTCGTTGTTTCAAGCAAACCCAACTTAAAGTCGGGTGAAGAAGATAGGTTGAATGTGTCAGATCATGGCACCACATCTAACCAACCAACCCAGTACAAAAACACACTTGTTGACTCATTCATCCCTGCCCAAAAGCAGCAGAAATATAAAATATATATAAGACACCCTTTTTATTACAAACCCAAAGACCACACAATCTATACCGTGAATCACACTATATGAGCTGAGTTCTAAGTTAATCCTCTCTCTCTCTCTCTCGTTTAAACGTATAATATGACTAGCAAAAGAAAAACCCATATCAAAGTTCCAAAGAAAGAAAAAATCAAAGGTAATGTGATGGCAAGAGCCAACACGAATGAAGATGGTGACATGGAGTACCATTATTTTATGAAGATGGTCACTTATAAGGCCTCAAAAAGGTAATACCATATACATAATTACATACATAAAAATCACATATTCCAATAGTTTTA